GTGTGTGTGTGTGTGTGTGTGTACACATCCATCTGTAAAACATGGTGGAGGCTCTGTCAGGGCTTGGGCTGCATTTCAGCCAGTGGTGTTGGGAATTTTGTCAATAGTTATGGAATTATGAATTCAGAAGTAGGATGTTGATCCACCATGCAATACCATCTGAAAATGCATGTGATTGGCAGCCTCATTTTTCAGTATGGCAATGAACCCAAACACACAGCCAGTGCAGTATAAGCATCCCTTGACATAAAAAACAAAAAAAACCAAACACATAATGGAGCACTGTCAGTCTTGGTTTGGCCTCCCGAGAACCCGAACCTCAACACTGAAGCAGTGTGGGATCATTTTGACAGAGAACAACAGAAGGGAGAGATTTGGATGTCCTTCAACAAGCCTGGGAAACTATTCCTGAAGACTACTGAAAGAAATTAAAAGAGATCTGCCCCACAGAGTTCAGACTGTCATAGAATAAATGTGGTCATTCCAAATACTGCCTTTCAAGCTTGTTATAATTGTACAAACACTGTTGGCTTATATGCTGTATTTCCATGTAGATTTGCACGTTTCAATAAATTGCTGCACCAGTTTCCCATTTTCCTAGCAAAATATAAAAAGGTGTATAGGTGGTATAACCAGTATTGAGACCGAGTTTTCAGACTGTGCCTCGGCTGGTCATCTCTCTAAGAAAAGAGTTTCCACATGTTGGACTTCAGCTGGATAAACACTGGTTCTTACAGAAGTTCTGGAGTCATCAGCAGCTTCCTTCCTCCCGGCTGGTTTGGAAACACATCTTCAAGGAAATAGTACATGTGACCGACACTGATACCTGAGGAGAGAATAAAGTCAGACACCCGAATTTCAAATAAACTATTGGATCAGATAAGGGGAAGAATTAGTTAGCCAGTTGAGTCAGCCGGTCTTTTCCTAAAAAGCGCCTTTTGCCAACCATTCATGTTAACTGGTGTTAAATGAATGAGCAGAATTCGAGTCGTCCCATACCAAGCAGGTCGACCACGATGGAGTTCCCGAGCAGCAATGAAAATCCCATGAGCACCCAGGGAAGAAACGGGGCCTGAAAGTTCAGGAGGCCGAAGAAGTTCATACGTATGAGCGGATGTCTTCTACTCCACACATACACCAGCATGATGATAAAGGCCTGACCCAGGAAGAAGATGTTGGCGAACAGACCGAACAGCTGCGGGACTTCAGGTTAAATAAAATCATTCACCTGTTCATCAAGAGTCAAAGTTTAAGAGGACAAACTAACCTGAACTGTTGGAGCTGTAGTTTAAGAGAGAGAAAGCTATTTATTTGAAGAAACAGGGTTTTGTACATCTGTTAGTCAGACAGAACTGGAATATAACCCCACAGTAGCTGATTAAACTAAACAAAAAGAAGAAACAAGTTTTTCCATCTCATCTCTGCACGTAGAGACAATGTTATTGTTTAATGAATGCTAAACCCTCCACAATAAAAGCCAAACTATGACATTCCCGTCATTCCAGCCAACCATGTTACATGTTTATAGCAGAACTAATCCTGCAGTTCAAACTCCCCATAAAACACAGCATGACTGCATAAACCTGCACAATAACTGTTTAACAACCACCCAGAGACACGTCTGTGGTAAACCCACTCACAACAGCATCATTAACCTGGAATCTGAGCAAACTGCTGCGCATCATCAAAAAGAGGTGCACTCTATGTACAGCGACTGACTTTACACGCTTGGAGCCTGCAGACGTCTGCGGAAGTCTCTGACTGACATTTCTGATCAAAGTGGAAATAAGTCTTAAATTATCTGTGGAAAATCTGGGAGCAGGATTTCACAACTAGTTTGGATGCCGCGCAATCCAGGCAAATTACACAAGTCGACATACAGTGGGACTTTCAGTGACAGAGAAGAGAGCTTGTGTTAAAGTCAAAGGATCTTATTCCAGATTTTCTTCATCTTATACCATCCCGTAGCTGTGGTTGTTTACCCATCACTCATCCTTCGCCTAAACACGTTAAAGGATACAGTGATCACGATCCCTCCAAACAGGAACATGAAAACAAAGTCCGCCGTCCTGCCCCGAAAACAGCCTTCCTCCAGCATCCGACAGTATCGATAGCTTACTTTCAGTTAAGGTCTGCTCAGCTCTGCTGCAGATTTCACCATAATGTGAGCTTCAATTCGGTAAACTTTCATATTAAGATACAGAAAAAGATACAGAAAGATGATGTTGAACACGAAACTAAATCCGAGAGAGCCGAAGAACAGGAAGCTGGTTATCAGGCGCCATATCTGAGAAAGAGAGGGAAGAGGAGTGTAACAGTGACGATATGACACATAATTAACTCAAAGTTTCAGTTAAATAGTTGGTAAATGGTACCTGGTATCTCCTGATGATGAGCTCTGGGTTAAAGTAGAGCTGGAATGGGCTGATGAACTCAAGTTGCTAAAAAGTAAAATACAGCCTAAAATTAATTAATTCTGGGTAGCTTGTATGATTATTCGCTATAACTAACTCGAAGTTCACTTAAAAAGTCCTTGTTATCATTACCCTCTGCAAAACCTTCACCACCACCAGGGGGCAGCATTTTACCAGCAGGTGTGTTGAAATGTTTTTAGATGTTTGCTGCTCTTCTTTTACCTTTTGATAATTGTTCTATACCTGGTCTTTCAGCTGCTCCTTTTAGGGGTTGCCCCAACCAATCATCTTCCTCCATCCTATCCTAGCCGTAGCATCTGCTTCTGTCACGCTTGCCCTCACATGTCCCACTTCACGAAACCCATGGATCATTCATTACTGTAGTGCCCCCGTTTTCCTGGCAGCTCCAGCTTCATCTTCATATCCACTCTCCCTGCTCTGCACATGTCCAGCTTTGCCACCTGTCTTTTGGTCAGTGCCACTGTCTCCGAACCATATATCGTATCAAATCAGGTCTCACTATCATCTTGTAAACCTTCCCTTTCACTCTTGCTGCTATCCTTCTTTCACAAATCACCCCTCACACTTGTTTTCACCCACTCCACCCTGTCTCCACTCTCTTCTTAACCTCTTTTGTGCACCATCCGTTGACCCCAGGTATTTAAACTCATCTACCTTCGCTACCTCTACTCCTTGTAGCTTCACTGTTACACCTGGCTTCCTCTCATCCACACACATGTATTCTGTCTTGCTTCTGATGACCTAGTGTATTGTCTTACTTATTTTTTCATTGATTGGACTTATTTCTGATATCTGTACCTGAGCTGAGGTAACGCAAAAAATTTCCCCATCGTGGGATCAATAAAGTCTTACCTTATCTTCTCAACACTGCTCCATAAAAAACTCTTGACGCAAACATTACATCTGTAATGTTCTTTGTCAGCCTGTAGCCATACTACTACTCGCTGATTGTCACCGCTCTCCTTAGCCTAGCTTCTCTCTCCTTCCCATATATTCACAGTGTGGCTCATCAGCTTTATCCCTCATAGTTACTACAGCTCTGCAGACCACCTTTGCTCTTGAAAATCAGTAACAGTAAACTTCTTCTACATTTCTGGTCAAAAAGTCCACTTCCTTTTCCCCTAGACACCATCTCTTTACCTGCACAGGTATGTCATCTGGACCAAATGAAAGCAATAAAACTGTCATTTGAAAAGAAGTGCCACGCAGGTGTTCGGTGTATCCTCTAGACAGAGGATCCTCTCACTCACTCCTTACTAATCCTCTACTTAGATCATTCATCAGCTCCCCAGAGTGCCCCCTCCATCTTCTCATCACACTCCTTTCTTCACTCACATCCTAACCTGCTGCACATCCTTTCCAGCTCGATCTCTCTGCCTGGCCAATCAGTACAAGTCCTTCCCTTCTCTCCTTCCTTAGTCTCCAGTGTCACACACACCTCACTGTAACTAACTTTTTCCTTTGAATATTTTCCCCTTTCCTCTGTCTAGAGGAAACACCAAACGCCTGCGTGGAACCTCTTTTCAAATGACAGTTTTATTGCTTTCACTTTGAAATTATTTACCAAGTTCAGTGGTAACACATCAACTGATACTACAGGTACTTTCTATTACACGGGACTTGCTGTCACTTCATATCATATTAAATAATAAAGTACTTCAGATATAACCACGATCTCACTGACACTTTCTACATGAGGAGGCTACAATTAGATTCAACACTTGTGTGCTAAAAGGTGCCTAACTTTACCACTCAAGTGTTTCCATAACTTTTACTTAAAGTGCAGCAAGTGCTTAGATCTCCTGACTAAGACTCACAATCTCACAGTTAAAATGTTGTAAGAGTCCAAGAATAACAAAAGGCAACATCTCTAATTTGCACAGTTTGAGGACAAAACAGGTTTCCCCTCTGACCGGCAGATTGTAAGTTGAAGGATTTGTTTCTTACCACAGCAGCAGTGGTGAGGACACAGGCGGTCGTGTACGCTCGGGTCACCACAGGGATCTGAAAATACTCCTGAGTGAAACTGTGAGCCATCCCTGCTGCTGCTGCTGCTGCTGCTCCTGCTTCACTGTCAGCCATGATTTACTCCCTGAGTGAACAGCACAGGCCACGCCCCCTCCCACCACCTGACAATCGCATCCACTCATCAATTAACACCATCCACCCCAACAACACAGCAAACCGTTAGCGCAAAGTCTTCGCTTTGAAGACCAAAAACGCATTTTAAATTTTTTTACACAATTGCTTTGAGTCGTGATGTTATCAAGATTTTATCTAATATTTATTTTGTTAGTTAAAGTTTATGTTAACAGCTATACAAATTCCTGTAATATTATTGTAATATTAACAAGAGAATAATGTGGGACTGTTATCTAAACCGAAAGTGTGACGGGCAGTTTTTTTTATAATGACACTAATATCTCTCTAAAGATTTCCACAAAGCACATTTTCCAGTTTTACAATTAAAAAACTAAAGCTAAAGAGTTTAAACAGGTCTGCAATATTATAATACGATTCAGTAATATTTCTGGTTTTATCTACAGTATATTTTAATATTGTAGATAAAAACTTTTTTATCTATTTTTATTCTTAAACAAGTGTTACATAATCCATAACTTTACCTGGAAATGTCGAGCTCTGGTCTTTAACTTTAAATAACTTTATATAAAAGCATACATGACCAGCAGGGAAAGCTCAAGTGAACAATTTAATGCAATTCTGTGTTGTGCAACGAACTTGCGCTGGACACAGAGGTCTGCAATCCACATCATGCTTTATTCCTGGCAAACACACAGTATTAGAGTTTGGCCTCCCTACCCTGCCAGCATAATTTCTAATGTTTGTTGTACTTTTGGTCGGTCTTTCCCAGATGGAGTTTCACTGGAGTGATGTAAGATCCCTGACTTGTAGAGGAGAAGGCGCGTTAGCCCGCCGCTTCAATCAAACTCCAGCAATATTATTTAAAATCCTTGTGAGGAGTTTTTAAGGCTTGCATAAGCACAAAAATGTCAGGCTGAGTTACGGGTTAACCTTTGTACTTTTACAGAAATATATCTTATAGAATGCGACAGTATGTGAATTTCTGTTTTAAAGTGTCTGCATCAGTTTCTGAGCTTGAATCTCCCCAGAGCCAGACGGATAAAAAGGTTATGAATTTATTTCAGTAACTTAGAAAAAACAGAAAACAATACGCAGGTCATACATTTCAATGAACAGGGTAAAGGCTACAAAAGATTACAAACAATATTAAAGACATGTATATACAGGAACATTTTCCTAAGCTGTTTGTGTATAAATATGTTTGAAAGCAGAGTTCACGGGTTGCAGAAATGATTCAAACAACAATGAGAGCTGTTAAAACTCGCCAGTGTCCTGCACTGAGCCTTCAAGCGCTGCATCAGGATGCAGCAAAGGAAATGATGGCGCAATGGTTCTCAACCTGGGGGGCGCTGACCTACAGAGGAGTCGCAACCAGAGTTTTTCATGTCCTTGAATTGCTTTTACTTTTGATGGAAAGAATTTTCTTTACAGTTTTATGTTAAATATTGTCAATTTTGACCTCAGGCTGATCCTCGAACACTTTTGTTTATTTAATATTTCAGACTGCACCAATATAGTATTTGAAAATGACTCTGGTGCAGACGAAACCAAATGTAACTTTCTTATTGCTGCAACAAAATTTTCAGCTCAAATTTAGTTTTAAATCCTATTTTTTTTTTAATGTTTTATTACCAGGTTGATCTCCACAGCCGCTGCTATTCCCAAACCTCTTACTAATGAAACAGAAAAGAGCACCATGTTACCGATGGTGACGCAATGACTTCAAAGATGGCACAAAGAGTGACCTGAGGTGGTTGACAGTGTTGCACTCTAGATGGCGCCCTGCAGCTTTTCCTGCAACAGGTGCCTGCACGCTGAGAAAGTGAGAACTTTACACCATCATGCTGGAAGAGTGACATCAAAACATGATGTACAGCAATGGCATTCGCTTTTCTTCTGCCTTTTTAAAGACCCTGCACTGTATAAAACATAAAATATTTACTAATGCCAGGAAGAAAAGTATCTGAAAAACTCTTGTTCAAATATAAAAAGTAAAGGCAAAACCTCCTCGTCTCAAACAGCAGGGGAGCGGACACTGATGAAACGTTGCTGGTGTTACATGTTCTGACCCAGAGGAGAGGCTGGGTTTCTTATATTTATTCAGTGACTCACACCTGAGTTAGCTTAAGACCTCTGAGCAAACTTTAAGGAAGAACATACACGTTATTTATGGCAACTATTACTGGCTGAAAGTGACCAACTAACTGTCACATCATGGCTACCTTTGGTTGTGGCTAGCTTCACCTCTAGCAAGGCTGACATGAAAAAAGTCGTAGGAGGTGTATCGGTATGTGGTTTCTATCTGTCAAAGCAACTCGAGTGGTCACAGTGTTAATTTTTGATTCTTCATTCTTTGGCTTTTTGTTTCATTCACTTTTGTGTATCTAATTTTATCAAAACTTTCTATTGGTGTAAGGAAAAGAATTGAAATAGGAGCTTGAAACATTAGAAACTTAGAATGCTATAATCTTGGAAGTTTCTGGTTTTCGTACGGATAAAATTTTAAATGAGATAAAGTGCAAAGGAAACGTGGCATAAATCATCATGACTCAGGTGTCTGAAAACATCAGTTCTGAAAGGACTCACTGAATAATGCATAAATAATATTATGGTAATGCTATCTGCACTATATTTTTGGTATCTAACAGCAATGAATGTTTGGCACAGATGTTCTTTGGTCCAGCAGTGATGGTGAATCTGGCCAGATGTTGCTCAAACCAAATCTGTGTCCTATCTGAGACACATCTGGCCCACACTACATTTGCCATAACTGCCAAATGTCTCCCACATCTGGGTGTGTTTTGATCGTAGGCTGTATATAAGAGATGCACATAAAGCTAGGTCAAATATAATTTTAACCTAATGAGTTTATGGCCACATTTGCCAAATTAAAGCCATACAGAATACAACATGGGGTATAAATGATACCTTTCCCTGCAGTCATAGAGGACGATCAATGTTCACGCTTGTGAGATTGTGTAACATTGCGTTCTTTTGAGAAATGCTCAGCTCGAGGCTTCAGAATGGGACTACCTGGTGGGCTGTCCATCTTTTTATAGATTTGGTGGTTTTGAATTATGGTTAATGGGACTCAGGTTGGCAGGAAAATCAACTACATGTGCAATCATGTCTGTAAAAAAGGGAAGCATTGCTGAAATTGTTGCTCGCTGACATTCCTGCTGAGTGGCTCCTGGGTTTCATCGTTCAAACAAAACTCTGATCGCCGCCTACAGCAGCTCATGTACAAAGTTTGATGTCGCTCTTCAGACCCTCATAGGGTTAGCAGAAGTCCGTCCATGATGAAAACACACAACTGCTGGAATGGAAAACACAGACTAAGGAGGACAGTCTGCGGACCAAAATCTCACTTTTCGGCTCAGAGAAAGGAGGTGAGAAGTGTGCAGTTCACAGCACACATCGTTAGACAAGGGCCCAGAACTCAGCCTTACTGTGACAAAAATGTGCAAAATAAATATGAGTATAGCTGCACAGGAGGTGCCAAGTCTGAGGGAATACAACTTGGTTTTCCTGAGAAGAAGGTGTACTTGATCTGTGTATCAATAAATGAAAGATAAACAGATTCAAAGGAGACGCTTTCATCTCCTTTGAATCTTTCTCCAAAGATAAAAATGTCTTTGCTCCAAAAAACCAAACAGACAAATAAAGAGACTACTCCATTGCAAAAAAACCAAAAGGATCCTCAGATTCAGAATCGCCCGTTTCTGCAGCCGAAGAAATCCACGCCGACGTAGCGAGGGTAGCCCTCCAAAGAGTTCATGTTAACAGGGTCAAATTTCCAGTACTGCCGTCCTCGGATGAAGTGAGCGTAGCCTGAAACACAGAGAGCACAAACAAAACATTTTTTTATCAGCGCCACTGCGAATGTGCCCGCGTTGGCCCAACAGCTGCTCGCTCTTGGCCAGATGTCAGATAAGCAAGTGAAAACCTGAAGCAGCAGAACAAGGAAAACAAGCAGCGTGCAGAGCAAAACATCCACAGGAACACATGCAGCAGCTTTTATGATAACTGGGTCATTCATAAATGACATGTTGAAGATAAAATTATCCTTGTTGTGTTGTGTGTACAGTTACACTTACAGCCTCTCTTACTCTCTCCATGCATTTGTGTTTTTAGTTTGATTTGCTTGAAATCAAAAGGAATCGTTATAAACTGATAGCGCTCGTGTAAAACAGGAAACCCGACTGCGGCGTGATTCTGAATCAGATTATCTTAATGCTGAAAATCATTGTTTGTTGCAAAGCTGAAAAGCTGTTAAAACCACTGCTGAGTTATTTTTAAAACTTACCAAGCTTGTAAAGTATTTTAAACTGTTTATTGTCGTATTTATAGCATGGTAACGTTCCTGCGTCTTAATTCAACAATCACATGTAGCGCTCCAAATGTCATTTTATTTCAGAGACACGCGCACGTACCGTAGATGTCTCGGAAAGCGGCGTCCACGACGCTGGGGATGCCGATCCAGTCCTGCATGCTGCGCGGCGCAGACTCGACTCGGTTGTCCTGGGGGCTGAACCTCCAGTAGCTGCCTGACTTGAAGAAGTAGATGTTGTAGTTGGGGTCCTGGCCCCAGCGCAGTGCTGCCTGGATCCCAGACTCGTACAGGCCCAAATTCCTGATGGACTCCGGCCCCCTGATCCGCCTCTCAGCATCAAACACCCAGTAGTTTGCACCTGCACAGACGGTGGGCTCCAATTAATATTATTTTTATATAATAAGATGACTTGTAATTAATGTACGTTCATTTTTTTTGGTATAATGTATTTTCTAGCTACAAAAATGAATCGGTTAAGTATGACGTGAATTCTGAACGCTGTATGCTGAGCCATGTGTCAAGTTGACTAAGACGCTTCGCCATCTTGTGGTCCAGTGTGGTATTACACAAGAGTACTGCCTGGCCTTATTTCAACCTCATTTGAGATTTCTTAAACGCATCTTGATGGTGACTTCAGACCTGTTGTTTCTTCCACTGACAGGTTAAGTTAACTT